AAGATAAGCCTGGTGATCTGCTTCTGAAAGGTCACAGCCTTGAAAACCCTATGGAGCACAGTTCTACTCTGCACACACGGGGTCACCATGAGTCAAAATCAACTTGTTGTCAACTGTTTGTGCTTTGTTTTGTTTTTAATGTTCTAGTAACAGTATTAGCTATGCAATTGGGTATATAGTAGTGAATAAAACTGATAAAAATCCCAGTCCTTGTGGAATGGGAGGAGACAGACAATAAACATACCGCATGAGGAAATTACATAATGTGTCATGAAATTAAAAAATTAGAGCAGGGTGAGGGGGAATCAGGAATGCCAGGTAGGGAGGTTGCAGTTCTTAACAGGGTGGTCAGAGTAGACCTCACTGAGGTGCCTTTGGGTCAAGACTCGATGGAAGTGGGGGGGCAGGTGATATGCTTTCTACAGAAGTGCTCAAATGCCCACTGCCCTGTGTCCATGGGGAAAGTGGGCTGTTGGGTTCCTCCACGGATGGGGTTTTGTCAGGCCATTGCAAAGGAAGGGCAGAAGGGCAAGGGATTTTAAGCTGTTTACAGGAGAGCTCCATCTGTATGGCATAGAGGAAATGTCTGGTTGATTTGTATCCATTCACGTTAGTCTTCAGGGAGGAACTTTCTGACAGCTGGGGAGGCCCTCTGGAGGCAGGAATAGGGAAAAGGGGGGGGGGTCTGTGGATGAGGTGAGAAGATGCCAGCTGTCTGTCTCCCCACAGCCGCAGGGTCCCTCCACAAGGTGGTGATGAGCAAGAACACCAGTGCTCGTCTGGTGGAGGAGATCCAGCTGTCCCCTACCCCCGAGCCTGTTCGAAACCTGCAGCTGGCTCCCACCCAGGTGGGAAGGGACCTGGCCATCAGATGGCTTTCCGGTGGGGCGGGGCCTTGGGGACCTGGGCCAGGATGCCAGTGCTTTACTAGGTGGGGCTGGGGCACCCTGATGCTCTCCATCTCTGTTGCAGGGCGCAGTGTTCGCAGGCTTCTCAGGTGGCGTCCAGCGGGTCCCCCGAGCCAACTGTAGTGTCTACGAGAGCTGTGTGGACTGTATCCTTGCCCAGGACCCCCACTGTGCCTGGGACCCTGAGTCTCAAACTTGCCGCCTCTTGCCCAGCCCTGTCCCGTGAGTGCCAGTCCTCGATGGTGGCCACATGGCCTGCCAGGACCCTTCTTACCCTGCTCCGCCACCTTGACTCCAAGACTGCACCCTTCGGTGTGGGATCCTCCAGGGATGGGGTTTTGCCAGGCAATTTGGAAGCTGCTCTGGTGCTTCTGGGTTTCTCCTCCTCTCCTTCTCTGTTCCTCCTGGTCTCCCCAGCCCACCTGCTCCCCACTTGCACTTCCCTCCTCTTGCCATTTTGTCTGTTTCAAGGAATGCTTTTTGCTTTTGCTGCCCCCTCAGGAGCTCCTGGAAGCAGGACATAGAGCGAGGGAACCCAAGGTGGGCATGTGCCACTGGCCCCATGAGCAGGAGCCACCAGCCTACGAGCCGTCCCCAGATCAGTGAGTGTGGGGCTGGGGGAGGCACAAAGGTTCCGGAGGGTTAGGGGGCCAGGGTGGGCGTTCCTGCCTCAATTTCCTCCGCTCCCTCCCTCTCCTGCACCTGCCTAGCTTGAGACCCAAGTACCCGGAGTGGGGATGGATTTGGGTCCTAGCTGTAGGCTGCAGGGACAGGAATCCTAAGCTGGGCACCAAGCTGGGATTCAGGATGGAGGCTGAAGTTGGTTTTGGTGTCAGAGGTGGAGTTACATGGGCGGAAGCGGGGAGGTAGGACTGGAGGTTGGTTTGGGGTCAAGAGTGGGGATAGGGAGGAAGTCAGAGTTGAGATTGGGAGTTGAAATGGATGTTGGGATAGTGATGGAGATGAGAGTTGGGGTCCAAATATAGGGTGGAGACTCTCCTGCCTTCCTTCTTCTTGCCTTCCTTAACCCTTTTAGTTAAAGAAGTTCTGGCTGTCTCCAACTCCATCTTGGAGCTTCCCTGCCCCCACCTCTCAGCCCTGGCCTCCTACCGCTGGAGTCACGGAATAGCAGCAGTCCCAGAAGCCTCTTCCACCGTCTACAATGGCTCCCTCTTGCTTCTGCTGCGGGATGGTGTGGGGGGTCTCTACCAGTGCTGGGCCACTGAGAGTGGTTTCTCATACCCCGTGGTCTCCTACTGGGTGGACAGCCAGGACCAGCCCCTGGCCCTAGATCCTGAACTGGCGGGCATTCCCCGGGAGCGTGTGGAGACCCCGCTGACCAGGGTCGGTGGTGGGGCCGCCCTGGCTGCCCAGTGGTCCTACTGGCCCCAGTTCCTCACCGTCACTGTGATCCTTGCCTTAGTGCTTTCAGGAGCCCTCATCGTCCTCCTCGCCTCCCCACTGGGGGCACTCCGAGCCCGGGGAAAGGTCCAGGGCTGTGGGACTCTGCTGCCCGGGGAGAAGTCCTCACTAAGCAAGGAGCAGTCCTTCAGGCCCCCCAAGGAACACAGGACCTCTGCCAGTGACATGGACACTGACAACAACCAACTGGGCACTGAGGTGGCATAAACTCTGTGGGCACAGGCTGGGGCTGTTGGGTAGGTCAGGGCGCCTGGCCATGCTGGCTGGGGACCTGGAGCAAGGCAGCCCTTATCAGGGTGGGAGTAGCACAAAAGACCACCTTCCTCTTTCTTCTGTGAGAGGAGCTTCTCTTGCCACTCCGTGCTACTGATAGCACCCACTGGGGCTGCACACAGTGGCCTGATTCCCCTGTGGGACTCCTTCTACCAAGCATGTGGAGCCAAGGCTCTCCAACCGGGGCTGCCCCAGACCCGGACCCAGGCTGTGATAGGAGGAGGACCTAGAGAGGATCCTTCAGTTCTGACCATTCCAGGGACCCTCTAGAAACATACTGCTCCAGGAGACCCTAAAACCTGACTGTTCCAGGACCTGATGGTAATAAGCACCGACCAGCTAAACCACCATAATGCGCCATTCCTGGAGACTCCACTCTGAAAGCAGCTGTCATGTTGGACACCAACATTTCCCTCTCTCAGGGGTCTCTGGGGTTCTGCAGGGAACTGCCCCTTGCTGCTCCCTTCACAAACCATGCACCACTGACTCCCAGGAAGTGTCTCCTGTGAGTCTGACCCCTTTCCTTCCTGCTTCATTTGGAGCAGATTTGGATCCCTTCAGCCGTGGTTTGAATGTCAGGGGTAATCTGAGCCTCGTTCACTCCTCTACCCTGACTGACCCCTTGACCTCTCTCTTCCTCTGCCCTTTCCTTTGTTTTGGGATTCAGAAATCTGCTTGTCACAGACAGTTTATTTTTTATTAAAAGACAAAGCTTATGACTTGTGCTGTTTTGTCGGGGCAGCAGACGTCCGCAGGGATGTGAGGGCAGCAGGCTGTCTGAGCACATCAGTAGGGAGGACTCAGTTTGTGGAGTGATTGTTCTCTCAAGCCCCAGACCACCTCTTCTACCGTGCCAGCTCGCCACCCAGAACCAGCCCCTCAGCCCTTCCCTCCACTCCAGAAATTGCTAGAGAGTCCCTCAAACATTGTCTTTTGGGCCAACCACTCCATCTGTCACCGACTCCCAGGCTGCAGCCCCCACCCTTGCTATCCCCAGCTCTCCCACACTTCTCGTGACTCCAGCTCAGCCCCCTTCCCCACTGCAGCAGCTGGCTTTGACTCTTGCTAAATTGAATTTATAGAAAGACCATGTAGCCACCCCCATCTTGGCCACATCCTTCCCAATATCTGACAAACCCTCTGTCGACACCCCCACACCACCTTTCCTCTCTCCTTCCTGTCATGAAGGAACATGTCCCTCCTTCCACCAAGGCTAACCAGTGTTTGCCCCTCCTCTTCTGCCACCTCTAGAAATTTGTTCTCTAGCCTCCAGCCCTGCCCTCCCTCACTTACCCACTCCCTCATCTTTAACCTCCCCCCATCCCTGGCTCCTTTTCTCCCACCCACAGGTGTGCTCAGGTGTTCGCTGTATGAAAAAAACAATAACCCTTCCTGCAACTCCACCCTTTCAATATACCCTCTCCACTCCACTCCACGTCTCCTTTCAGTTACCACCGACAACAGAGGTCCATACTGTCAGCCTCCTCATCCCATTCCCAGCTTCGCCCTTGCTCTCTTTAATCCCCTGTGGTCTGGCTTCCTACTTCACCTCTCTGCTCAAATTCCTCTCTCCAGGATGATTTATGACCCCTAGCTGCCAAACTGCTTGACCTCTCTGCAGCCCTCACACCACCGCCACTCCATTCTTTTCACAATTCTCTCCTACCGGGGCTTCTCTATTGGAATTATTTGGCCTCACTGGTTACTTCTTTCTGCTTTGCTGGCTCCGTTTTTCCTCCCTACCCACCTCCCCCTCCGCTCCTCCCAAGGCCCAGCTTTTACCAGGCCAAGCACCCTTTCCAGCTTCCTGTCTTGTGGTTTCCCTGTTGACCTCTAGGCCAAGCGCCGTGGGGCAGCCAGGGGCAGTGGAAAGGGCAATGAACCAGGATCGGGCTCCTGGGGCCTTCATCTGCTGTTGATAGACTGGACGGCCCTCCTCTGTCTGCACCTCAATTTCTTGATCTGCTGGATGAAAAGAAGGGATGGGAAGATCTGCTTTAAAGCAGGATGACCCCTTCACCGCCAGATGTACAGCTCCAAACCTAAGCCTTCTGCCATGCTCCGACCAGGGCAAGGACAAACCTGGTGGACGTCTTTATCCAGATGACCCAGAGACTCCTCAAAGCACACCTGCTTCTCTCCTCCCCTCTCTGCCTCTCCTCACCATCACTCCAGAACGTACTTTGTCCTCGGCTCCCTTCTCTGTGCCATCTTCCCAACCTGCCCCAGTCCTGGATGATTATTTGATTTTTTTTTGGCTGATGATTCTTACCTAAAATGTTCCCAGTACTCACTGTCTCACTCATGAGACACTTACACCCAAAGATAAGAATATAAGTCACAGAACTGGATGGCACATGAGGTTATCTGTGCTGGACTGTCAACACCCAGAGGGCAGGAAGTCTTTTCAACACAATCTCAACAATCTTCAGTGTGAGACACTGTGTTATAGGGAAAGGGGGCACTTGGGAAATGCTTCCCAATTGTGAGGTCAAGACCTTTGTCTTTCATCATCCTACTTGACCTCTCTATAGCTTTTGACATTGGCGACAATTCCTTCTGAGACAGTTGTCCTTTGGTCTCCAGTTGCAATGCTGTTGCTTACCGTCCTACCTCTCTGGCCACTTCTCAGTCTCCTTCAAGTGCTTCTCTTCACTTATCTCCCTTTAAAAGTCTCCCTTGGACAATGTCTTCCATGCCTATTGCTTCCACTTCCACTCCGTTACCAAAGGTATTCATTCATTCAGCAAACACGCACTTAGCACCTGCTATGGTTCAGAAGAAGCCCTGGTGACACAGTGGTTAAGAGCTTGGTTGCTAACCAAAAGGTCGGCAGTTTGAATCCACCAGCTGCTCCTTGGAAGCTCTATGGGGCAGTTCTACTCTGTCCTTAGGGTCGCTATGAGTTGGAATCAACTTGAGGGCAATGGGTTACAGGCTGTGGTTCAGAATCTGGCCTAGACAGCTGGAGAGACACATGGATCAGACCCACTTCCTGCCCTCACAGGGTTTATGATCCAGCAGTGGGAGTGCAATCAGAATCATGAGAGACAGGGTGTTGTGGGGGACAATATATTGTTAGCTCTGGCTTCATGCCTCCTCCTCCTCTAGTTACTGGTTTCCTCCACGTGGCTATACCACCTGTTGCCCTTGCTGTCAAGTCAGTTCTGACTCAGAGCGATCCTATAGGACAGAGGAGAACTGCCCCACACGGTTTCCAAGGCTGTCATTTTTACTGAAGCAGACTGCCACATCTTTCTCCCATGGAGCAGCTCGTAGATTCGAACTGCCAACCTTTCGGTTAGTAGCTGAGTGCTTAGCCACTGTGCCACCAGGGCTCCTTAAAAACCAAACCAAACCCATTGCCACTGAGTCGACATCTCTAATGCAACATGCTCCAAACTGAATTTACCATCCCCTACAAACCTGCTCTCCCTTCCACATTCCCCATGCTAGTTGATAATACAATGCAGAAGCTCTGGGCTCATCTCACACTTCCTCTCCCTCAACCCCTCCACATTTAGTGGGCCACTCAGTCCTAGCCTCTCTCCATCCTTCCTTTCCTTTGAATCCCTTAGCTCCTCTCCAGCCCCACTGGGCCCATACCTCCTCACCAGCACAACCAGAGCAGACCCCAAACCAGTCTCTGCCATCTCCTTCCCACCCCACCCCCATCCATACTCCACTCTCTGGTCAAGGTCAAGGGAAGCTTTCTAAAAAGAATTTCTGCTTAAAACTCTAAAGGACTCTTTATCAAATTCAGAATAAAAAGTCAAAACTCTTTGGAATGGTGTGCCCTGCCTCCAGCCCCTCCATACACACCTTGGTGCCACTTGAAGTTCTTGAACCCTCTCTGTAGTTCCACAGAAACCTTTATTTAGTGCCTAACACTGTTCCAGGTCTTGGTGATACAGAGGTGAATAGACATGGTCTCTACCTTAAGGAGTAGACATTCCTTTGGGAATGACACCTCTGCCTAGAACATCGTCTCTTCCGTGCAGAGTTAGTGGTTTCTGCACGCTTCAGTAGAACCCTTTTCACACAGTGCTGGTTCTTCATGGTGTTCGTATGGCTTCCATGTGGTAAAAACCAGAAAACCAAACCCGTTGCCGTTGATTTGATTCCGACTCATAGCGACCCTGTAGAACAGAGTAGAACTGCCCCATAGGGTTTCCAAGGAGTGGCTGGTGGATACAAACTGCTGAACTTTAGGTTAGCAGCCGAGCTCTTAACCACTGTGCCGCTAGTGCTCCGGCATGTGGTAGGCACTCTCTAAATGCTGAATTTCATTTATTCAATAAATATTTATTGAGCACTTACTATGTGCCAGGCACTGTTAGGTGCTGAGGACACATCAGTGAACAAAACAGACAACATTTTCGTGCCTATGTGGAGTTTATATTCTAGTGTGGGAGAGTTTCCAGGTATAAATAACAGCTAATGCAAAGGCCCTGAGGCAGGAGTGAGGGTAGTAGAAGCTGAAGTAAGAAAGATACTGAGTGTGCATGGGTCACGTCACGTAGGAACCTGCCAGCCATTGTAAAGGCTCTGGCTTTTACTCTGAGTAAAATGGGAAGCCACTGGAGGATTTTGAACAGAGAAGGGACATGATCTGACTTACAGTTTCTAAGGGACACCCTGGCTCCTTTACTGAGACAAGAAGGTAGCAGAAGCAAGGGTGGAAGCAGGGAGACAAGTGAGGAAGCTACTGGAATAATCCAGGTGGGTAGTATGGAGGTGGTGGGAAGTGGTCAAGCTCTGGACCTATTTTTAAGATAAAGCCAATGGTGTTTGATCATGGATTGCACATTAGGTGTGAAAAAAAGAGAAGAATTAATGATGACTCCCAGGTTTTTGGCCTGGGCAAATGGAAGGATGGAGTTGCCAATTGACTGAGATAAAGAAGATAGCAAGTAGGTCAGGTTTAGGGGAAGAAATAAGAGTTCAGTTTTTGACACGCTAAATGTATCTGTCAGGGTTCTCCAGAGAAACAGAATATATACATTCTTAGCATAATGTTTTCAAGGTTCATTCATGTTGTGACACTTACCAGTACTTTATTCCTTTTTCTGACTGAACACAGAATATGCACAGACCACCTTTTGCTTATCCATTCATTAACTGATAGACATTTGGGTTGTTTCCACCTTTTCACTATTGTGAATAGTGCTGTTATGAACATTTGTGTACAGACTTTTGAATACCTGTTTTCAAGACTCTTTGGTATATACCCAGGAATGAAATTGCTGGGTCATGTGGTGACTCTGTTTCACTTTTTGCGAAACCACAGAAGCTGCACAATTTTACATTCCACCAACAATGTA